GAACTCACAGAGATCTGCCTGCTTCTGCCTCCCGAGGGCTGGGATTAAAGGTGTGTGCCACCACCGCCCGGCACAGTTATGATTTTATATAAGCTATCAGATCTAGACAGAAGATAGGTTTAAGGGATCAAAATAGGGAAGGAAGAAGTCACACTATTTCCAGACAACATGATTCTTTACTTAAAAGACCCTGTTGAGGGCAGGAGAGATGGCTCAGTGGTTAAGAGCACTGACTGCTCTTCCAAAGGTCCTGAGTTCAATTCCCAGCAACCACATGGTGGCTCACAGCCTCCTGTAATGAGATCTGGTGCCTTCTTCTGGCCTGCAAGGACATATACAGGCAGAATACTGTATACATAATACCTAGATAAGTAAATTTAAAAAAAAAAAAAAAAGACCCTGTTGAGTCCAGAGGACACTCTTGGACCTAATAAACACTATGGTTGCCAGATACATAAATCAATAAAAAAGTTGCCTTCACATATGTCAGTAGTGAATTTCTCAAAAAAGAACTTAGGAAAAGTACAACATTCAAAGTCATTCCACCAGGATAAAGTGTTTAGAGATGTTTCTAAGCAAAGCAGTGAAACAACTCTAAAATGAAAACTTCAAGATGCTGACACAGGAAATCAAAGAAAAGAATAATAGTAGATGGAAAGACAACCCATGCTTCTGGTCTGGCAGGATGGTACCTGCCAGTCATTTTGGCCATAGAACCAAAATTATCATATAGATTTAAAGTGCTATTATTAAAACTGATGTATTTCATAGCTTTATAGAAAAGACAAGAATTTTTACAGATGACAAACAATGTTAAGGTGTTACAATCCCAACCACAATTTATACCAGAGCTGTCGTGACAAAGACGGCCTGGACTGACATAAAACAGACGGGAGACTAAGGCATAGGACAGAGATCCTGAAAATAAAATGACAAAGGTATGCATGCTTAATTTTAGACAAAGAATGCAAAACACACATTGGAAAAAGATCCCATTCTACACATGATGCTGCAACACTGTTTTTCTGCCTGAGAAGATGAATTTAGATTCTTACCTTTCACCTTGTACAAAAGTAAACTTGAAACAGAGCAAAGACCTTACTAAGTTCAAACTTGGAACACCCAAACCTCAAGAAGACAACCTAGGGGAAACCCTTCCAGATGCTGGGATAGACAAGAGCATCAAAATAGGACAATATCAGAGTAACTAATCAGGCCATGCATCAGCATGAAAATAAAGTCTCTTCCCAGCACAGGACACAGTCAGCAGAGTGACCAGAAGCCACAACAGGAGGAAACCTGTACCAGCTGAACTGTAGACAAGGACTAGAGTCCTCAATTTACAGAGAACTGCAGAAACGAAATACCAAGGAATTACCATTGCCAATCAACTAAGAGACAGGTATCTTAATAAAAGAAAAATCATAAATGGCCACTAACTATTTTTAGTGTGTTCAGTACCTTTAATTTTTTTTGAAAATGCAGATTAAAATTACTTTAGGGGGCTGAAGAGTTGGGTCAGAGGTTAAGAACACTTGATGGTCTTGCAGAGGACCTAGGTTAGATGCACTCTATGTAACTCAGGTCCTAGGGAATCTGACTCCCTCGTCTGAGCCTAGGATACTCACCAGGCACACATGTAGTGCACATGCACACATACAGGCAAAACACTCATCCGTGTATAAGAATGAAATAAAAATGAAAATGAAAAAAAGTGCCTTGAGATAGCCCTTCACAGAATGGCTGTCATCAATAAATCTGACAGCAAATGTTGTCATTCAGGGCAATGTAGTCCCGGCCATCATAGGCCTCCTTACAGTACCCACAGAGCGGCGGCCATCTGTCCCCAGGTCGCAGCCATACATCCACTGGAGCAAGAGAGGATCTGGTGAGGACCAGGTGGTCAGCGCCACCTTGTGGCCGCCGTGCCCCGCTGTCAGTCCATAATCTGAATGTTCAGAAACAGAAGTTCAATGGAAACCTATGCGAAACTCTGCGGGGTCTTTCCTGTTTGATGGTCTGGCCAGGTGTTTGGATGAAACTTCCACCCTGTGGGTCAGGATGACCCAAGACTGTCCCGGGGGAGATTCAAGTGGCCGCGGTCACTCACCATTGTCACTCTGATTGTAGTAGCCAAGCGGGGTCTTCAGGTTCCATCTGAAGTTCTGCCCTGTGCTCCTGGCTTTTTGTGTCCCCCCCTCTCAATAATCCGGCCCCTCCTGCTCTACAAACAGCGCGGGCGGCTCCATTCTTGGAGTCTCAGCATAGCTGTTGAACTGAGTGTCATTTGCTTAGTATCAAGGTTCCCCATGGCGGGGCCGGAATGAGGCTGTGTGGAAATACCACAGCAAGTGCGAGCGAGCCTGCCAGAGAGAGCAGTGAGATCCCAACTCTCCTCCTGTGCCCAGGGTCCCAGGTGAAGGAGGGGAGACAGGAGGGATCAGGGCCTCTAAGTTAAGCTGACAGGGTACTGCCTCCTCCTGGGGCTGCCTTTACTCTCAGCTGGGTTCTGGGTCAGAACTAAGGCACTAGCCAGCAGCTGGACCAAAGCCACTGAGGGCACAGTCCTCACTCTGGGGTCTGTGATGAATGTGGACTTTGTTCCTGTTGACTGCTGGACCTGGAAACTCTGTGGCTGACGGCTTCTCTGGAAACTAGGTGTCCTAGAGGCATGAGAATTGTGAGTGAGTTATTTGTGTGCAGTGAGAAAAACCAGATCAGGACTGAGAGACAAATCGATACTGTGCATAAGGACACACACCTGTGCTGGGAACCAACCCGGAGTCTTTATTAAAGAAAATGCAGTCAGAGCCATGACAGGACTTGGGATTTTAACCAGACCCATGTTGTCTGGCACTCATGCCTCTTGGGTACATCGTTTCTCTGAGTCTTGGTACAAAGTCTATGTAAATTTTAGTTAATTTAATTTATTTTAAAATTATGTTTGTGTGTTTTTTTGTGTGTGTGTGAGTATTTGAGTGCAGTGCCCGAGGAGGACAGATTTCCTGGAGCTGGAGTTATAGATGAGTGTGAGCGCCATGTGAGCACTGGGAACCAACCCCAGGTTCTTTGTAAGACCTGGGTATGTGCTCTTGACAGCTGAGCTCTCTCTCCAGTCTGTGGGAGGATTTGAAAGGACTAAGCAGATGTCATAACAGGCTGCTCAGTCTTCTCTCAGAGATCAGGCCTCAATTTCTGTTCCCTGAGACTTGAGCAATCAGTTTCTGGGATGACCATAAGCAAAAGACATAGTCCTTACAGTAGCTCCCTTTCTGCACGTGCTCTGACTGCTCAAGGTTTAGCCAGTTGTTTACTGTCGGGATCCCTCACCAACTTAGAGCTACATGCATGGGTCAATGTGAAAGTTCCAGGACAGCCAGCCCCCATAGTAGCTCAAAGAGAGGGCCTGGCATTTGTCCAGGCCTGCCCAAAAATAACTGTAACCCCCAACCAGTAAATTCAAGGTTACACGCCCTCACCCAATCATATGACACCAAGGCTTGTTCCACCCTGCTTGTGGTTTTTCTCTTTAAAAACCCTTCACCCTGAGAGCTCAGGTCCGTCCTCCTTCACCTCTAGCCAGTGTGTTGGACGCGGACCAAGCCCGGGCTTGCTTGTTATCAACAAACCCCTTTGTGTTCTGCATCGGATATCGGCTCTGTGGGGGTCTTTCTTGGGGGTCTCGCGACATGGTCACAACAGATTGTTTTTAATACTTTGTTTCATGTAATCTTAGATATTATACTCTAACTACCCAAGTGGTAGTTACTAGGTGGTTAATTACAAGGTGATTCTATCATTGAATGTTTCTGTTCTGCTCTATGAAAACCACTGGCTCTGAGGCTGCAGAGAGACCTCAGCCACTGAGAGAACTTGCAGCAGCTCACAACTGCCTGTCATCCCGTTCCAGGACGACTGCCTCCCTCTTCTGGCATCCCTGGGCAGTACAGGCATGTGATAGACTTGTCTTCATGTGGGTAAAATACTTCTGTGTACATAAAATAAAAAATTTTTAAAACTGGGTGTGGGGGGTGGGGGAGAGAGAGAGAGTCCATTTGA